TATAGTACCTACCTCCACATCGAACACCGACACATCTCCACTTGAAACACCCAATATCGCTTCTGAGCCTACATTGCCATCAAATCTTCCACCAACATCATCGATCACATCAAAATCAACACTTCAAAATTTAAATGCGATTCCAAACTCTGACGTTATCCTAATGGATATTGATCAACCAACAAGCAATAAAAGATCTCTACCTGACTCATTTCTAACTCACTCTCCACCTCCATCTCCATTAGAACCGAATGGAAACTCAAACGTGATGCCTGCTCCACAAAACCCAATGACCCCTCAAAACAATATCATCGAAAAAAAAAAGAAAAAGAACAAAAAATCAAAATCAGCAGCACTAACAACATTTTTAAAAAATATCGATGAATATCTAGAACCAGCAAAAAAACTCTTCACAGATCAAAACAATTTTAAAATCGACTTTATTACCTTTAAACACATTTTTGAAAATAATCAAGGCCACTTCGAACCACCTACAATTTATAACGAATATAGTATATCTAAAGAAGATTTATTGGACATTATTATGTCTATCAAACCAACCCTACAAAATGGTAGCATCAAAAACAGATTAACCCGTTTCACAAAAACGTTAAACGCAGAACCCTATGATTCTAACGAATCAGAAGCTTAATTCATATTTAATACATTAAACAATGACACATATCAATCCTTCACAAGACCGTAAATCTAACATTATAAAAATAAAACCTACAATGCAGCACAATAATACAAAATATAACATACTACAATGGAACCTAAATGGCTTCTACAAAAGAATCAGTGATTTACAAATTATAATAAACAAATACTGTCCTGAAATCATTTGTCTACAAGAAACAAATTTTACAAACTATAAAAAAAACACACTAAAAGGATATACAAATTATACCAAAATAAGAACTAACGCAATCAGAGCTAGCGGAGGTATCTCAACATTCATAAAAGACTCATATTCTTCCGAAGAAATACTAATAAATACTCCACTTGAATCCGTAACCATTTCTGTTCAACTCAAACAAAAGATTACAATTTGCAACCTTTACCTTCCTAACCAATCACCCTTCACCGAAGCAGACTTAAAAAACATCATTCAACAACTTCCCCCGCCGTTCATTCTCCTAGGTGACTTCAATAGTCACAACAAATTATGGGGCTGCATTACTACAAACACTAGAGGGAAAATAATCGAATCGGTCATAGATTCTGAAAACCTAATTACACTGAACAACGGTAATCCAACTCATTTTGGCACAGCATCCGGTACGCAATCAGCTATTGACTTAACATTCACAACACTTTCTTTTGCTCCTCACCTTACATGGGACACATTATCTCATCCATATGGAAGCGACCATTTGCCCATAATCACGAAATTAACGTACAGAAATACAGAAGACATTCAAGTAGGCAAACCAAAATGGAAACTAAACACTGCTGACTGGAATCTATTCACATCCCTCTTAGAACAAAAAATAGATTCATCTGAATTTGAAAAACCAAAAATTAACAATTTAAATGAAGTTACACAAAATTTCACAAATGCTATTCTAGAAATAGCCAACTTAACAATAGGACAAACTATATTCTCAGGTAGAAAGCCCCCAGTTCCTTGGTGGAACTCTCATTGTAATGAATCTATCAAATCAAAAAAGACGGCCTTCAACAAATTTAAACGCACTAAATCCCAAGATGATTTCATAGAATTCAAAAAACGCAGAGCCCAAGCCAGACGTACAATTAAAGACAGCAAAACAACGAGTTGGCGCGCTTATACAAGTTCAATCAATTCTAAAGCAAACCCAAAACAAATATGGAATAAAATTAAGGCTTTTAAATGCATTAACAAATACGACAATATACAAATCCTCAAAAACGAAAATGACACAATATACTCAGAACCGTCAGAAATCGCAAACGAACTTGGCTCCTTCTTTTCAAAAGCTAGTAGTACTGAAAGCTATCCCCTTGATTTTCAAAGATACAAATGCGCTCAAGAAATAGTACCCATCAATCTCTGTCAAAATCACGATAATACTCATATTAATAGTCCTCTCACTATCCAAGAAATGGAAACAGCCCTCAGTTCCAAGAAAAGCAATGCTTGCGGAATAGACAATATACCTACGATTTTTCTTCTCAATCTTCCAAAAAACGGAAAACTCTACCTACTCAAGATCTTTAATCATATTTGGATGGAAAACCAATACCCAACAACATGGCTAACCGCTATAATCAAACCGATCCATAAACCCAACAAACCTAAAAACCACGTATCTAGTTACCGTCCTATATCCATTATATGTTCCATGACAAAACTACTAGAAAAAATTATTAACTCAAGACTAATGTGGTACCTAGAATCTAACAATCTATTATCCAATCTTCAACATGGTTTCCGCAAAAATAATTCTACTTTGGACTCATTAGCAATTATTGAAAATGAAATTAAAGAAACTTTCAATCAAAATCAATATTTGGTATTACTCAGCCTCGACTTACAAAAAGCTTTCGACACTATATGGCGCCACCGTCTTATTAAATATATGGTACAGTTGAATCTTAAGGGTAACATAATTAACTTCATCATAAATTTCCTCTCAAATAGAACAATACAAGTATCTAATAATGGTATACTATCTTCCCCATTCATTCTTCATAACGGCAGTCCTCAAGGTTCTCCTCTAAGCTCAACTCTTTTTCTGTTGGCTATCAATGACCTCCCATCTATCATAAAACCCCCAAACAAAATCACAATGTACGCAGATGATAGTAACATATTTTGCAGGGGCAATAATCTACCAACATTAATTCAGCAGATACAAAATTGTATAAACTACCTACTACAATGGAGTAAAACTTCAGGTTTCACTTTCTCTCCAACCAAATCACAATTCATTATTTTCTCAAAGAAAAACATCCCCTACAACCCATCTCTTAAAATGGAAAACACGAACATTCCTCGAGTATTCAACATAAAAATACTAGGCTTAACCTTGGATTCAAAACTAACATGGCGAACCCACATAAACAACATAAAAAATGAAGCAAAAACTAAACTCAATATAATAAAAACACTAAGTAACCTTGAATGGGGTGCAGAAAGCAAAACATTACAAATAATACACAACTCAATAATCCTCTCAGCACTAGAATATGGCTCAATACTATATGCAGGAGCATCTGCTGTTACAATCAAAACTTTAGATCCTATTCACAATACAGCCTTAAGATTGTCAATTGGTGCTTTCAAAAGCAGCCCAGTTCTCAGCATCATAAACATCACAGGCTCTAAATCACTCGAAAAAAGGAGAATAAAACATACATTGGAATACACTTCAAAAACATTAATAGCAACAAAAAAACCCATCAGCACAATATTAAGAAACTCAATCAACCAATTCCAAAATAACGATATAAACAATCTTGGCACTCGTACAGCCACCTATGCCTCAGACCTCAATATTACTTTTACAAACCAACTTAATCCACCAGTCTCTGAACAACCACCATGGATTATCTCAAATCTTCTCATCTATTTCAACCTAACTGCACACAAAAAAAAAGAAACCGATTCCTACATTTACAAATCAAACTTCTTCGATCTAAAAAACAGTCTTCCACCTCATCAAGAAATATATATTGACGCGTCCAAAAACAAGGAAGGAACTGCAATCGCAATAATCCAGTCAAACTCCCAAAAATCATTTCAAATCCCATCATACAACTCAATCTATACAGCAGAATATCTAGCTCTTTTAAAAGCCACAGAATTAGCTACCTCCTCGGATATCCAATCTTCAACCATATACACAGACTCTCTCAGCGCCCTCACAAACTTAGCAAATCCACAAAAAAACAACCCAATAGGCAACCTAATATCAAACATTATATTCTTATCCAAAAAAGACATCAGATTTCTATGGGTACCTGGACACAACAACATACCTGGTAACGAAATTGCAGACGAAATAGCCAAAAGGGCAACGAAAGAACCAACTGAGTTCTGGAATATAACTACACATATAGATACAAAACTCCTTATAAACACTAAACTTGACCAAACCTGCCTTCAAGAATGGAGATCAGTACGAAACAACAAGCTAAGAGAAATAAAATCATCCACCCTCCCTTGGTTGCCCGACACATCACTCCCGCGCAGACATCAAATCGTACTCAATAGATTACGAATTGGCCATACACTTTACACTCATGAACATCTAATGAGCAAAAAGGAACAACCTATATGCACCTCATGCAACACCGTGACTACTGTCAAACACCTTCTAACAGAATGCCTCCTCACAAAAGATGCCAGAGACAAACTCATGCTCCCCAACAACCTTTGTGAAATACTAGCACCAAACTCGGAAAGAACATCTTCACTCCTAGAACTTCTCAAAGAAACAAACCTTCTGCAAAAAATATAACACAAATTCTAACATACCACATACAATCCATATATTATATATTTATTTGTATCATATTAATTATCTTATATACTTTTTTATTTTTTGTTTTGTTTTCTTCTTTACGCTCTAGTATCATTAAGTAAATTATAATTAAACTGTAACATGTATATCTTAAACGCCAATAACCCTGGCAGTTGAGGCGTATTTCTAAATAAAAAAAAAAAAAAAAAAAAATATTTTTAGATGCATATTTTAAGTAATTTTTCATTTTATCAATATTTTTTGTCAACGTTTTTATTTATTTATTTATACAACCAAAATAACGTTGGATTTAAAATAATTTTAAATTTTGATCATAATATTAATATGGTTACTGATTTTACACAGACGCGTGTTTTTCCTAGAAACACATCTCGAGAGTGCCGATTAGATTGATTGTTGGGTTATTAATTTTATTTATAGACAGTAAGATAATATTGTTCAACGCACAAAATATCGATACGGGCCACGGGGACGCCTATCGCCGACGTCGGACATATTCATATTTCAGTAATCGCTGTGTTTCTCAACGGTTGACCATCGACCATACGTCCAAACGCGTTCTATTTACTATTTATTATACAAAATGCCTAAAGTTAAAGTGTCTTTATCTTCACAATTAAACAATTATGTGTCTGAATTCGGTCCTGAAGTGTTCTCAACAGACGGTAAAATACTTTATTGTAAAATTTGTGATATCAAGTGTGGAAGTGCTAAAAGGTTTAATGTCACACAACATTTGACTACAGGAAAACATATGAAATTAGTTGCCCAGAGAGAAAAAAATGTAAATATAAAAAAAGCTCAACAGCATTTTCTAACTGATACTAAAAAATCGTGCTTCAATAAAGATTTGTGTTCCGCGATGTTATCGGCCAATATACCGTTAAATAAATTAAATAATGAATCTTTTAAATCATTTTTAGTAAAATATACTGGCAAAATAATTCCAGCCGTGACAACATTACGAAAAGGCTACGTAGATGAAATTTACGATGAAACATTAATTAAAATTAGGAATGCTGTTATTGACAAAAAAATCTGGGTGTCCATCGATGAGACAACTGACTCTTTAGGACGCTTTGTCGCAAACGTCATTATCGGTACTCTCGAAACGGATACTCCAGGAAAAACATTTTTATTAAACTCTGAAGTACTGCCTAAAGTTAATAACTCGACTATTGCAAAATTATTTGACGACTCGATGCATATTTTGTGGCCCGAGGGAGTGCGACATAACGACGTCTTGTTATATTTAAGTGATGCGGCTCCTTATATGGTAAAAAGTGGAAATGCAATTAAAATTTTTTATCCTAAAGTTATCCATGTAACGTGTATTGTTCATGGGCTTCATCGCATAGCAGAAAAAATTCGTGGACACTATTCAAAAGTAGATAAAATAATTTCTAATGTAAAAAAAATTTTTTTGAAAGCGCCTTCTCGTGTAATTATATTTAAAAGTACAGCACCTGATCTTTCACTTCCTCCGGAACCTATAATTACAAGGTGGGGAACGTGGGTTAAAGCCGCATGTTATTATTGTGATCACCACGAAACTTTGAAATCAATTGTTAATTCTTTGGATAAAGAAGAGGCAATTTCTATAAAAAATGCACAAAAATATTTTTCTGACCCTAGTCTAGCTGCAAATTTAGTGTTTATAAAATCTAATTTTGGATTTATTCCCGACGTAATGACAAATCTTGAAGCAAAAAATATACCACTGTCAGATGCCATAAAATTAATTGAAGACGTTTTTTTTAAATTGAATCTAGTACCCGGTACAGTGGGGAAAATGATTCAAGAAAAGATGAATGATGTTTTAGAGAAAAATAAAGGTTACCAAACATTAGTTCAAATTTCAAAAATCTTATCTGGAGAAGAAACTTCAATGGTTAGAATATCTGAAAACTTGAGCCTTGGCGATTTAGCATATTTTAAATATGCTCCTATAAATTCCGTTGATGTTGAACGTTCTTTTTCAATATTTAAAGTGCTGTTAGCTGACAATAGAAAAAGTTTCCAGTTTGAAAATTTGAAAAAGCATCTCATTGTTCAATGCAACAACCAAGGTAAAAATTAGTGTTAATTTTAAATATTTGAAACTAATATATTTTGGTAATTGTTTTTTAATAGTTGAAGAAGTTGAAAGTTCTGAAGAAGTATCCAGATAAATAAAATGTTGTAAATAAAATGTATTGATTAAAATAATAACTACCTACAGAAAAATTCTTATTTTTTATTCAAAAATATTCATTTTAAAGTGCATATTTTTTATATTTAAGTGCATATTTTCAATGCATATTTTGTATATTTAAGTACATATTAGGTGATTTTTTAGAGCTACAAGTCCTCTGCCCTACAGTAATAAGGAATTAACCATAATGTTTAGATTTAAAAGAAATTTGTTTAAAAAACTTACTTTAATATGACTTAACAAGTTGCCACTCGACTTGGTTGACGCATATATGTTTTTATGACAGTTAACACAAGATGCTATTATTTTATCAGCATTGATCGACACCAGTTTGTTAAATTCAATAAATAAATATTGAAAATTTTAAATTTTGCGGTACATTTTCTGTCGACGTTGGCGAAACGTCTGTACTAGTTATCGGATCAAGTAAACGAACTCTTTTGGTTTTAGGTAATGATTTACTTAAAAACGATCCATTACAAATTATAAATACTTCACCAATAAAATTAACATAGACAAAATTATAAAAACTATGAAAACAGGTTAACAAGTGATCAAGTTGAGGACGAGTGTGCACTGCGTACGGTACGGGAAAAATGTCTCATATCAGTTATTTTTTTTGTTGTACAATATTATGCACCCATGCTAATTTGTATAATCGGGGTCTGGTAATAATATTATAATAATTATTTATAGCACATGATTAGCGATTACACGATCAATGGACATAATTTATAAATAAATATAGAATTTGTGGTAATCGATAGGGAACGATCAATTTTTGTACAGCGTATTATTAGATATTATAATATTGTATTTTCTTATCGACATTTATTTCTGTATTTTATTATTTATATATTTATAAGCCATCCGCAATCTCCGATTGGTACCACCGCGCAGCTGCCTTGATCGGCCTGCGACAAATAACCAAGTTCTATCGGCATTCGTAATACGGGTTTGAGATTTTCCGTATTGACCATATCATGGACCGTATTATAAAATTATAAATAAATTCCATCTCCCATGTATATACCTATACGTAATAAATCGTCATTAATTTTCATAATTAATAATAAATGCTATGTAAAACTATTTTAGAACCAAATTTAGTAATACAAATTAAATTTCTTATTTACCTAGTTGTTTATTTTATATTGAAAATTATAATATTGTAGAATAGTTAGGTATTACTTATTAGTAATTAGTTACGGACTTTGTGAGTTATCTAGATAATTTATCTAGATGGCTCTAAATTTTATCTGGATGAAATTTAGATGTCAATTTTATTTCTTATCTAGATAAGATAAAGATATTAAGTTTTTATCTAGATAACCTATCTAGATAAATTTAGTTATGGCACAACACTGGGTAGAACGTCTAAGAGGACGCTACACCGAAAGTGAAACGTATACAACGCTCAATAGATGGCGTTCTGAGCCGTATCGCCGCCGTCTCGACAAGCCGTAGCCACGCCCATTGTCTACGTGACAGTAGAGTCCGCGCGTAGTAGTTGCGACTTGCGGGAGAGGTACATTATTATTTCACAGACCGTCGTTTAGAACGTTTAGCATCAATGCAGTCAATAGTTACGTAAATATCGTTGACCGCGTATTTTTCACGATTTTACGTACCTACCTACTAACACGTGGCACGCTCACTACTAGCGCAAAAATCACTACCATTTCATTATTTAAGTCCAGTTTACTTACATATTTTTACATACTATTACATGAAGCATGCAATCTCTTACACAACAAAATGTTAAATAAAATAAAGTTTACTAAAGTTTTACTAATAAAGAATAGAATAGGGATTCATATAGTTAAATGATTATTGTTATGTAAAAAAAACATCCTCATTTTCCCAATTATTATTAAACAAAAAGACAATATTTAAAATAATTAAATGTTTAATTAACTTTAAACTTTAGCCTTAATTAATTTTCTTCTTTTTTTTTACATTGAGTTGTTGATCTTTTTGCTCTTTTGTGATTCTTTCTGAGTTTTTAATGTCGCTTATTAATAATCTTTTTCCAAATAAATTGGGGATTTATCAATTCTGTCAACAAACAATCGTAATAAAATCTATAATAAGACCATTACATTAATTAGACATTAATTCTTTAACTAATTAATTTAACAGTTGATATACTCAGCCCCGGATTAAGGTTGGATTGGGCCCCAGGACACCATACACTTAGTGGGCCCCCTTTCAACTTTACCTTCAAAAAATTTTAACACTACATTTTAAAGACTGTATACTCATATTATTATTAATTCTTGTACAAAAAAAAAAAATAATGTTTTGTAATAATTTATTATACATACATTAAAATATTATATACATAATATAGAAAACACTGTTTTGTTTTAGAATAATAGCTTAAATTTTTTTCCTTGCTTTTTCTTTAGCGAATTTTTGAATCGTTTCATTAAAATCAATCAATTTCAAAATATCATTTTCAGAGTACAATACCATTAAAGATGTTAAATTTTCCTGAGTCTGGCTTGTTCTATATTTATTTTTTATTCTTGTTAATTTGGAAAATGCTCTTTCGGCTGAACAATTGGCCACTGGGATAGTTAAGTATAACCTAAGAGAAATTAAAATATTTGGGAATACTTCCTGCAATGATTTTTCGTAGAACCATTTTAATAAACTAAATGCATCACTTTCATCAAATGTTACTTTACTTAAATGTAAAAATGTTTGAAATTGAATAATTTCATTTTCAAGTGAAGAGTCAACATCATTTTTATATGTAGAAATACAATTCTTAATACTCTTTTGGACTTCACAAAATTCTATTTTTAGAGTTAGATTAATTATATTGCCTCCATATTTAGATAATAAAAACATGGACTGGACAATAAAACGTCTTATCATATATAAATTATATGGGTACCTTATGCGAATAGATCAAAAATGCCTAATATCAATTATTACCATATATACGTTATCAATTATTAGAATATAATTTTAATATTTATTATCATTTAGTAATTTTTCGTGATATAAAATTAAGAACAAAAAAAAGTATAAAAATTCTTTATAACTATTTTAAATGTATTAAAAACATATATTTTACAAATAAAGATGGGCCCTCAAAATCAATGGGCCCCGGGACCGTGCCCCCCTTGGCCCCCCCCCCTTAATCCGGGCTTGGATATACTTACATATTTAATGGAGGTTTAATGTTCTTTTCCCAAAATTGTTTACAGTATTTAACATGTACATTGTAATACCAATTTTCGGTAAAAATAAAAAAATGATACAACGTTCTTTTTGTTACGTGAAGCTGTGTTTGAATTTGAAAATAGTAATCGTGGTTTTTTTATGTAGAACTTTTTCCTTATTCTCATCCAAAGTACAGTAATTAATCTATGAAAAGATAAAAAAAATAAAATATAAAGATTACGAGTATATTAATAATTAGTGTATTACTTTTCCGTCACTAATAACTTCAAATATATCTAAGTAGTATTTGGCGGAATATGGACATTTAATTTCTACTATTTCGTCATCTTCAATAAGGCCATCTAAATGAAATGAAAAAATACAAATTTAAATACTCCTGTTAAAGTACAATTAGCACTATTTTTATTAAAATCATATTGTGTTACCAGAGCTTGCCGCTAAGTAAGGAATATCACTATCCACACACAGACCAACGGGCTTTATATATGAACCGAAAATCAAGTTGTACTTTTCTTTAGCTACAGGTTCCATAACACGTCCATACTCAACAGCTTTAAGTTTATTATTTAAATTTCCGTATAACAGGCTATGAACTATTTTCTTACAGGATGTGGAAGACCTCATTTTACATATTTTACCCACATTCGATGCTGTTATTCGTTTTCACCTTTCGGAATGTAAAAATTGAGATCTTGCTTGATTTCTTGTCTCGTTTTCCAGATAAACTGAAATTTTAAAAATTAAATTCAAACTAAAAAATAGAAAAAAGTTGGAAAATTTGTACTTTTATAAAATTACCTATATCTGTATCTTTAATTTATTAATAAAATCATTATTTGTGATTTCTAAATCTTCCAATGATAAATCATCAGGTGGCAACTCTTCAGCGATGCCATAATGTTCATCAGGACCTGATTTAGAAAATATTTTCCTAGATTTAAGAGGAAATAATTCACGTCTTCTAATGTTATTGTTTCGTTTTTTTCTGGACATTTTTTAAAAACGCTTTTCTAAATATACCTATAACATAAATAAAATTGTTTTGAAGACATAAAGTCACAAATTAAAATTCACATTTTGTTATACCTGGACTTTTCTTTGTAATATGCTTATTTATTGCTCGTAAATACTGTATTGAGTTGAATGCTACAACAACTGCTTCAATTCTTGTGTTAAAACTTATAAGTATTGCGTTGTGATAAATTTATCCTTTTCTCTCCGATGAATTTATTAATTAAGCTATTGAACTGTTCACAGATATTGTTGTCAACATCTACTATCAAACTACCTGAATTTAAAACTAATCGATTGCCTATATTATTAATTTCTATCATCATTCCACTCATTTCGGCATGTTTGACCTAATTATTTTCATCACGATTTTTCGGGTGCACATGATTTGCGCACATTTACTAAAATTACAACTCATTTGCGCACATTTTTACAACTCGTTTGCGCACAGATTATTTCTAGTGTAACCACTGGTTTGCGCACACATTTCCCTTCCCACTTTTACAGACTTAGGACTGTCAGTGAATATTTTAACTTCACTGGTGTGGTTAAAAATGTATTTTTGGTGTGATGTGTTAAATAATATGTAAATCTTTCCGTGTGTTGCGGAGTCGACCAGTTCTTCCGGGTTGCCCCGGAGACACTCAGCCCCTTTGTATAACCGCGAGGTTGTCTCTTCCAGGCAGTAGCCACGGATGACTCCGGGGGTCCTGCCGGGGCGCCGCCTCACCTCGGGCGCCATAATGAGTGACCGCCGGATTATCGCCC